TCGATCCCAGGACCCTGGGATCATGACCTGAGCCGAAGGCAGACGCTTAACCATCTGAGCCACCCAGGCGCCCCATTTTTGAGATTCTTAACAGCAATTGCCAAATAGCCCTCCAAAAAGCTTGAACCCCTAGCCAAGGGGGGAATTCCCACTTCTCTCCGTCCTTGGCAGTACTGACTAATACCACGTAGAAAAATCTCTGCTAATGGCTGGCACTGTTTTTTCTAAATCACCCTTAGGTGAGAATGCCAAGCCAATGCTAAGATTGGGCAAAGACAGAATCTGAAAGCCTAGGACAGGACAGCCAGGTGCCGGCGCTGGGCTGGGGCCACACCCGTGGGTCATCGATGTTCGCTCTTGACAGCGGAGCTCTGGGGACTGGGACCTGCTCGGCCCCGTTACCCGTCACCTTCTTCCCTCCATGTCTAACGCAGACCTGTGCTGGCGATCGTGGAGGTGGAAGTTCAAGAAGTCGATGTGGGTGCTCGGGAGACGGTGTTTCGGGAGGTGTCTTCTTTCCAGGGCCCCCGGGATGCCACCGTCGTGGTCAACCTTCAGTCACCGACCTTAGAAGAGAAAAACGAGTTTCCTGAAGATGTGCGCACAGAACTCATGCAGACCCTGGGCAATTATGGGACCATCGTTCTTGTCAGGTAATTAGTGCCCCGGCTGGTGCGGGTCCCATGTGCGTGTTGGGTACACGGCCGGCCAGAATCCACAAGAGCTGCCGGGTCGTTCTTGGCATTGACTTGGCCCATCTCGTTCATTCTAGGATCAACCAAGGGCAGATGCTGGTGACTTTTGCAGACAGTCACTCGGCTCTCAGCGTCCTGGATGTGGACGGCATGAAGGTAAGCCGTGCTCAGTCGCCCGTGGAGCGGGGGGCTGCTTACTCCCCAGAGTCTTCTTGGGCACCACATGAGGGCAGGAACTAGCACCTTCCTTCTCGTGTCTATTTCCGGTCCCCTCGTTGAAGTCTCTAATGTCCAGCCCTGGCCACTTGCAGAATGTGGGGGGAAGAGCAAGTGTTAGAAGGTAGATCCCCCTGAGTCACTGGGTCTGTCTCAGCTCACACCTGCACATGGGAGGGCATTGCAGTCCTTCTCTTTAGACGGTGTACTTTGGAATATGCAGTGTACAGGAGTTCCCATTTTGACAATATCCTGGTTTTACGTTCACATGGGATGAAAAGCAGGAGATGATGATTCAACTTTTATTTGGGCCAAACGTGAGCTCTGCTGATCTTGCCTGAGGTCTAGACCCTCAACTTTTCTTGGCAAAACATGAAGATTGGCCTGCTCCTGATGCAGGAGTTTGAGCCGGATGCCCTTTGAAAGCAAAGGGGGTGGTTCTGAGGTCTGTACTTCTTCTCAGATGGCCACTCTCTCCTCACAGGTGAAAGGCAGAGCCGTGAAGATCAGACCAAAGACCAAGGACTGGCTGAAAGGTTTGCAAGAGGAGATCATCCGAAAGCGGGATAGCATGGCCTCCATGTCTCCCACTGCCAATTCCTGTTTGCTGGAGGAAAACTTTGACTTCACCACTCTGGACTATGAGTCAGAGGGTGAGTAGCTTTGCAAGGACCTCTTGGTCATTGTGGCAAGGCCAGCAAGCAAAAAGTTCCAGCAACCGGCATGAGATTTTTCAAGACCCCTTCTCACACCTAAGGTGACAGACGGTCCTTGGAGCACTAGCACTATATTCCATGTGCTCAGCTGGGCACTGTGCACAGCTAGGGGTGATGCATGAAGCGGTAAATAAGACCTGGAGCCGTCTGAAATGACAGCGAGAACAGTGTTTTTGAGGCTGTTCGGGCTGTGGGCTCAGTCCGTGTCTCAGGCCTGAATGGAATTGGCGTCCTGTACCTGTTGACACGTGGGTGCCCCCAGGCTGCTAGAGGCCGGGCCACAGGTGTCCCGACGCCGAGGAGCAAGCCCTGATGGTGAAACAGACCCACTGCCCAAGGCTATGCCATTTATCCTTATTGTGTGCTGACATTTCCTTTCCCAAGGGGATATTCTCGAAGATGACGAAGACTATTTGGTGGATGAGCTAAGTCAGCCTGTGGTCTCAGACGGTGAGATGGGCGGGGACAGCCTCTCCGAAGCCCCCAGCTCCACAGCAGCAGTGCCTGCCAGCAAGTCACCTCCGCTCACTAAAAAGAAGCAGCACTCGACCTACAAAGGTAGCTTGGCCCTTCCTTTTCTAAAGAGCCTCTGGCATCGAATCTGCTCTTTCTCTCAGCACCAGGGCATTGCATGAGGCTACCAATTAAGTGCTCACAGCCCACGCTAGAGCTGAAACCACAAGTCCTAGTAAGTGGGTGGAAACCGGGCTCTGGGCCCGTATCCAGCTACCACCACACTGATTTTCTTTGTGCTTTTTATTTATTTATTTTTACCACCGGTACCACTATAGCACACTAGATCCGTGGTAATCCCTGCTTCCTCAGTATGTTTAAATGGCCACAGCCCTGAATTGGTTTTACATTTGTAATTCTGTTTTTCTTCTCCACAATGTATGTTTCAATCCCGTAAGAGACACAATTATTTTTTTATTGAAATATAATTGACATACAACGTTATATTGGTTTCGGGTGTACAACTTAGTGGGGGGGGCTGTGTATAGAACTGTAATTCTATACATTACACAGTGCGTGTGGTTACCATGTGTCACCATATAATGTTGAAACAGGATTATCGACTGTATTCCCTATGCTATACTCTTCATCCCTGTGACTGATTTTAAACTGTAAGTTTGTATCTCTTAATCCCCTTTACCTCTCTCCCTCTCACCCCGGGGGCAGTCAACAACCAGTCCTCTGTATGTATGAGTCTGTTTCTGGGTTTGGGTTTTTTTTTTTTTTTGGCTGTTGTTTGTTTTGTTTTTTAGGTTCCACATGTACGTGAAATCATACTTGTCTTTCTATGTCCAATGTATCTCACTTAGCACACCCTCTGGGTCCATCCAGCATCTACGTCCTGAGTGCTGGGGTCTGGTTACATTCCTGTAACATGATATTACACAGTATTATGATACATTAGCATCATTCTATCATTTGAGACTTAAACAAAGAGGGACTGAAAGTCCCGCAGATTAAACTGCAAAGCCCTAGGTCATATGGTATAATGGCCCTTTTGAATAAGTTTTAAAGCCCGCTGGCCTTTCATGGGCTGGAAGTTAGGGTCATTCGTGCCACAAACTCTCCCACAGCCACAAGTGGATTCCCTCTGCCTCTCACTGTGCCTTCCCCATTGGAGGAAAGCTCTGTCTGGTAGGTTCGGCAGCTTAGCATGTGTCAGGCCTCTTTGAGCTGCGCCTGAGAATACAGAACAGGGTGAAAGTGAATTGAGATGCTTCCCAGGGAAGGTAATTTGCCAGGAGAGATGCACACACCCCCAAGCCCCTTTGTGCCATGGTCCCAAAAGGCGGTTAGTAGCCTGGCTGCATTGAGCCATCAGGAGCTCTTAGATGTACAGTTGCTGATCCCCATCATGGAGATGTGGGTTTGTCAGGGGTGAGCTGCGACCCCGAAAATCTGGTATTTCATGAAGCTCCCCAGGTGACTGAGATGCATGGCTGGGTTTGGGGACCACTGCCCAATCGAGGTGGTTCTGTGCACTGAACATCCAGAGGGCCCCTGCCCTGAGTAGAAGTGGCTGAAGGGGCATGCTCTTCAGACAGCAGGCGATCCTTTTCTGCGGGAGTGGCCATCATTCAGGAAGCCTCTCAAGGGGAGGGCACATATGTGCACCAAGACCTCTTGGAGTGAAAAATTAGTAGAGTGGCATGGGGCTATGTGGGCAACCTTGCCACCTGGCAGGTGTCAAGAAGGCATGTCCTCGATGCTATGGGGGTTCAGGCATTCCCATTAGAAGGAGAAGCCCTGCCTTTTCCCAGCTCCAACCTCAAAAATACATGGGTTTGAGCTGTTGGAAATGTGAGGGGTGGAGTGTCTGAGCCAAAAATCGGGCTATGTTGTAGTGTGGGAGAGAAGACCTGCAATTTCCCTGAACTTATGTGTAATAAGTGTATATGTAATAAAATCAAAGCAGTCACGTCCTCACGCCCCTCCGAGCTTTAGAAGGTATTTGCAGGACAAGTCAGGAGGTCGATCACCTGTGAAGTAGCTGGCAATGGGTGACGGTGAGCAGGGATGCCCCATACCAGGAGCTTGCCCCCGGATGGCAGGCTACCCTGTGGGCAGAGGCAGAGAATATTTTCAGCTTCCAAAACAGCTGTCCTGTGTTAGAGTGAGGAATTCAGACTGAGGGGCTCTGGTCTTCAAGTGTCTCCTCTACTCTGTGTGAGTCTCCTTCATTATTTCAGAAGGAGACACCCCTACCCTTGGAAAAATTTCCATGTCTGGACTAGAAGCCTTGTCCACAGTTCATCTGTTCCAAGCAGGCAGTGGGTGCCCCACCCCCACCCTCCTGTGCCAGCAGAGAGGGGCCCCCTGCCCTGCGGGGGGCCCTCCTGCAGCCGGTTCGGTTCCGTGCAGACCCAAGTCCGGGCCCTGCCTCACACCTCACTCACATTCCACCGTGTCCTCCAGATGATGCTGAGCTGGTGGCGCTAAAGCAGGAGCCGGAAGCAGTTGGAGATTTCCGGCACCGTTCTCCAAGCAGGTCTCTGTCGGTTCCCACTAGGCCTCGGCCACCTCACCCACCGCAGAGACCCCCCCCTCCAAGTAAGACTTTGTTGCTTTCGGCTTCCACCATGCCTGCTGGAAATAACCCCCTATTTCCTGCTACTCAACACCTGCCTCTGAGTCGCTGCTGCCTTGCTGGGTCCCCAGCACCTTCCCTTCCTCAGGCTTCTTTCTGTGTTGATCCCAGAGATGGTTGTGTTTCTCACAGCAAACTACGTGATTCTTGTACACAGCTGTTCGCCTTCCCGTGGTTTGCATTAAGGGGCTTTCTGTTGGAGATGGTAGAGAATGGAAAATTGAGGGGGCCGCCAAGCAAAGACCTTCTAGAACCTTCCTCCGCAGCCCCGCAGAAGTGGCCTTCTGTCCGTGCCTGCTTCCCCCCTCCCTGTTGCCCAGGGCTCCAGGAAGCCCCGATACCTGGCACTGCAGGCGTCCTGGCTTCTGCGGGCCCACACCTGCTGCCCCTGGCGTCTGGCCGCCTGAGGATGGGCCCTTCCCGGCCCGGCCCCGAGGACGGCGCTCCTCTTCCTGTCTCCTCCAGAGCAGTCCTTGGCCCCTCAAGCTTCCCTTAACCTAAAAAGACATTGGTGACGGGCTTTTGAGCACTTTCTCTTTTACCTCTGCTGTTTACTTCTTCCCCCCACCCCGAAAGTGTGACAGTCAGACACAGAGATTTTCCCTCAGGCTTTACTTTCCCATTAGGTTCATCTTGGCTTACGTCACATTAGTAATCGATGGCAAGCTGGAAGCACGTGACTTTTTAAGCATATTCTTTCCTTTTCTGAGTGAACAGAGATTAAAATACTAAATAAATAGTAAAATTTATATCGTATTGTGAAAATTTACAAAAATAGATACATATAAAAAATAAAATTTTAAAATGCACTTGATTGTCTACAAGTAACCATTGTTAACCACAAGACTTCTAGCCTTTTTCTGATTATATACATCTGTACTTAACACGCGGTTATTTATTTAACACGCGGTTATTTATTTATTTTTTTACAAAACTGGTATCCATTCTGCTTGGTCCTTTGTCTTTCATCTAATGTCTGTGTCTTCAAATGTTCTTTTTTTTTTTTTTTTTTAAAGATTTATTTATTTATTTTTAGAGAGAGAGCAAGCGCATGCCAGTGTCAGGGGAGGGGCAGAGGCAGAGGGAGAGAGGGTCCCAAACAGACTCTGCACTGAGCGCAGAGCCCGACACGGGGCTCGATCTCACGACCCTGAGATCACGACCTGAGCCAAAAGCAAGAGTTGGACATTCACCGACTGCGCCACCCAGGTGCCCCTACATGTTCTAAAATATGATTTCCTAATGACTGTGTCATTTAATATCATTTATTCCCCTGCTTTGGGATTTTTTAGATTTTGCCCACAAGCCATTTTTTAAAATGGAGTCCCAATAACAGTATATTTTAGACCACTCAAAAATACATTGACTTTTATATCAGATTTTTGATCCCCCCCAGGATGTTAGATTAAAATTTCCATTCAAATAATACTTCTCTAGAGAATAGGCACAAACTGAGAATCAAAAGAAAAATTTAATATCGACCCTGTGGATGCCCACTTGCCCCACACAGGCTGAGACCCTAACTGCGTCCGTGGTTGGCCTGGCTCTCGGCTGGCTGGGAATTGGCCTCAAAGCAGCTGGTGACTTCACTAAGATTGAGACTCTGCCCTCGTTGGTTTTCACAGCTGGTTTAATGGTGAAAAAGTCGGCGTCAGACGTGTCCATCTCCTCCGGCACCCACGGGCAGTACTCGATTTTGCAGACGGCAAAACTTCTGCCGGGAGCACCCCAGCAGGCGGTGAGTTCGGTGTTCAGCTCAAAGCAAAACAGGCCAGCATTTCAAACGCAAGGGATCTGCACCATGGTTCGTCTTCGGCCCCTAAGATCCTGTGGGATTGCCTCTTCTCAGTGAACACATACACCTACATCTCTTTACCCTCCGCCTGCCCACCAGCGCGCTCCCAAACCCAGAACTCAGGAGCAGATCTGTTACAGGGTTTCTGCATGGTGGTACAGAGTGTTAGAAAATCTTACTTGATGAAAAATCCCACGTGTCCCTGTGTGGTGGAACTGTTGGTTTCCAGACTCCTCTGCTTCTTTCTGAGGCTCGCCTTTGACCTTGGTGTATAGAGCAGTGCTCGATAGAAGGAAAATAGGAGAAATTCAGATCAGTTGTCTTGAGAGAAGAGGCTAAGAAGAGGGGTAATAGGGCCTAAATAAGTAGGGGAACACTAGTAATAACCACAGTGAGGGAGGATTGTAGAGGCGGAAAGTTGCAGAGGATGGCAGTGAGCTGCTCAGGGAGGACAGGAGGTGACAGCCAGTGGCATGGAGGTGAGGGCGGTGAAGCCGGGGTGCTGGGTGGAGGCGAGCTGTCCCAGGAGGCTAGACCAGATGTTACGCGTGATAGCAAGAAGAGGGAATGACTCGGCCTCAGTAGTTGACAACAGTGAAGGCAGGTCATCAGTGGCAACCCAGAGGTTTGGGTTAAGAGGGAGAAAGGTGAAGAGGTAGAAAAAGCCCTTGCGAGAAAAGAGTGGAAGGTGTCTTAATAACTTTGCTGAGCTGTGGGAAAAGTGGCTTCTGATGGTGCTTTCTGGCTTTTACCTGGTTAATTAAATAGATAGTGGTTTATCCACATTGCAAAGACCTGTGACCACCCAGTTTGGGAGAGGAGGCTTGTCAGCTCTGAATTATTGCATTCCTCTTCTTGGTATGAGAGTACTTCCGGGAGAAGGAGGCTTGAGGGATGCAGTCTAGATTGGAGTTTGTGTTTAACTCCTGTCTGATGGAGCCCCTTGCCCCTCACCCCTGCAAATTGATCAGTAGGCAGTGAGCGGACCCGGCGAGGCTGTTTTCCTGCCTCTGTTAATATGCTTTTCTTCTTGGGCGCCTGGGTGGCTCAGTTGGTTAAGCGACTGCCTTCGGCTCAGGTCATGATCCTGGAGTCCCGGGATCGAGTCCCGCATCGGGCTCCCTGCTCAGTGAGGAACCTGCTTCTCCCTCTGGCCCTCCCCCCTCTCATGTGCTCTCTCTCTCTCTCATTCTCACTCTCTCAAAATAAATAAATAAATCTTTAAAAAAAAAAAATATGCTTTTCTTCTTGTTTCTGTCCTGAAGCCCAAAGCCAGGATGGGGATAAGTAAACCCTACAATGTCAAGCAGATCAAAACTACCAATGCTCAGGAGGCAGAAGCTGCCATCCGATGTCTCCTGGAAGCCAGAGGAGGTGAGTGTTCTCCTGGGGCTCTCCTTCTGGTCTTTTATGCATCTTCCTACTAAAAGGGGCCTGGTAGAGAAAGTAACTTTTTTTTTTTTTCCTGGAGGGAGTATTAAATTGGAAGCACCCTTTAGCAACATTTTATAAAATTCCGCTACAAATGTTGTTATCCCTTTAAAATTATATATTTAAAATTCAGTGAGAATACAGAAATAACCCAGGATTATTAAGAAGCACTTTAAGGGAGAGACTGAAATAAACAAAAATGAATTTTAGAAAAGAATAATGGTCCAGGCACTAACTCATTCTGCCAGCTCCATAACAAGAGATAATTTGGGACCCATCCCTATTTCAGGCACAAAGTCTTCTTTTTAAATCACCAGCAAGTATAGATTCTTTACTGTCAGGCAGGGACCTCTCCCCCACTATACTGCCTGTTAATTTTTTGTTGCTGTTACTTCGCCTAACCCATATTAATCATAATCACATTCAAAATTGCTGATACTAATATTTTTGAGGGTTGTTGTTTTTGTTTTGATTTTGTACAAATATCTCTTTTAGAAAGGAGAGCTCATGCCCTCTGAAAAGCCATAGCCAGTCACAACTTTCCATTTGCTTTTAGGCAGGATATGTAACTTATTTGGAATCCCAAGTAACATTGAAGGAGGGCATGAATTAAGAGGTCGAGAAACACTGTTGTAGGATAACACTATCATGAGTGGTTTCTTTTTTTATTAACCAAAAATAATACAGTTGTATGGATGTTAACCACCCACGTGACCACCAACTGATGAATGGATAAAAGGTAGTGTAACAACCATATAGTGGAATATTATTCAGCCATAAAAAAAGAATGTATTCATATATATGCTTTATCATGGGTGAATCTTGACCTTATTATTGTTTAGTAAAAGCTAAACAAAAAAGGTTATATGTTGTATGATTCCTTTTATTTATTTATTTGAGAGCATCAGTGGGGTGGGGAGATGGAGAGAGAGAGAGTCTTAAGCAGGCTCATGCCCAGTGAGGAGCCCAGCGCGGAGCTCGATCTCTCAACCCTGAGATCATGACCTGAGCCAAAATCAAGAGTCGGACGCTCAACCGACTGAGCCACTCAGGCACCCCATACGATTCCATTTATACGAAATGTCCAGAATAGGCAAATCTCTACAGAGAGAAAGTTACTAGTAGTTTCCAGGGGCTGGGGGGAGGAGGGAATGGAGGGGCGACTGCTAATGGGGGACAGGGTTCCTTTTTGTGGTGATGAGGATGTTCTGGAATCAGATAGTGGTGACGGTTTGTACAACTCCGGGAGTATACTAAAAAACCCCTGAATTGTATCCTTAAAAAGGGTGACTTTCGTGGCATGTGAATTACAGCTCAATAAAGCTACTTTTTAAAAGTGTTCTATGAATGTAGAGGTTAGGAAAGGTTTGAGATCTGAAATCTCCCGGGGATCCCAGCGTAACATCTTCTTGGTCATGAGCCCTGCTGAGATTTTGAGATGTTTCGAATTACCTCCCCAGAGAAATACACACAGACATAAAACTTTGCGTATAATGTCTGGGCCTCACTGATCCCCCATGAAGACCATCCCTGTTGAGACGGTGAACATGAGAAGCTGGGAGCTAAACCTAGCTGGTTGGTCCTGACAGCCCTTAGAGATTTTTCTGTTTTTAGAAAAAAGGAAGTACGGGCTCCGGGGTGGCTCAGTTGGTTAAGCGACTGTCTTCGGCTCAGGTCATGATCCTGGAGTCCCGGGATCGAGTCCCGCATCGGGCTCCCTGCTCAGCAGGGAGTCTGCCTCTCCCTCTGACCCTCCCCCCTCTCATGCTCTCTCTCTCTCTCATTCTCTCTCTCAAATAAATAAATAAATCTTTAAAAAAAAAAAAAAAAGAAAGAAAAAAGGAAGTACATTGCAAATTACTCTTAGGATGCGAACTGCCTACAGATTAAGTCATGCAGCGAATCATCCTGTCCTGTCCACTTCAGCCATCCATACACTTGTGTGTTTCAGGTGCCCCAGACGATGCCCTAAATGCCACATCCCTGAGGGACCCAGAGCCTTCCAAACCAGAGCCCACGGCAGGGGTGGCCCCGCCCCTGCCCCGGCGGCCTGCGCCCAGAGTCCCCGCCATCAGGAAGCCAACCTTGCGGAGGACTGGAAAGGTAAGAAGCTGTAGTGGAGCCTCTCACTGCCGAGGGGCTCCAGGGCCTGGACTCCCGTCTGTGGGGACGCTGCTTGTCCATTGCTTCCCTCCTTCACACGCCTGTGTGTCCTTGGCTCTCGCTGAGCAGAAAAACCAGGAGTCTCTTGCGGCGATGGAACAGCTGGGAGGTATCAGGCCTCCGGAGTGTTCTGTTGGAGCCCCCAAACGAAGCCCCTGTGGGATACTTTGTTCCTGTTTGTGTGTCTCCGTATCATGCGCACGAGGTTGCACGGGTACAGATTTTTATTTGCCGGTCGGTGGATTTGCAGTGGGGACGCGCTCTGCGCGGCCTCTGATACCGGGGCCTGGACACCTTCTCTTGCCACTTTTCTTGCAGATTGTGTTTTGCTCTCGCTCTCAAGCTTCTCAGCCTTGCTTGCTGCTTCAGAGACATGAGTTTGTCAGGACAGTGGCAGCCCAGAGACTGGCACCTCTAGAGACATCTGGATCTTCCGTTTGATCTCGGTGTTCTAGTAACGGGACCCTCGGTAATCCGTTGGCTGGCCATTCCCGAGTGACTGCCGCTTTCCACCCGTAGAGCGTGTGCGACGTGGCTTTGGCGCTCGCTCTGTGTCCTCCGCATTGGTCTGCCCCACGTCCGCACCTCGAGTCTGTCCATCTGCCCTGCCTCCTTACAAAGCAGACCTCTCCCTCCTCCTTTTCCTTGTGCCTGCTCCATCTTTTCTTTTAAAAGCCAGGGCAGAAATGGGTCATTTTCCCAGGCCGCCGCGCAGGAGTGACAATAAAAGCCTGGGGGAGAAGGGTTGTTTCTGCGGTTGGTTTTCTAAAGAATCAGAGGAAATGCTGATGCTTTATGATACGAACAGCTCCTTCCGTGCAAAAGCTCCCTTTTGCACCGTGCGGTTGTTTTGTGATGGTTTTGAGTCAGAACCGAGGAAGTGACGTTCCTGTGTGAGATTTGCCTTCTACTATAGTTAAATGTCAAAGATTTAAGGAGCAAGCCGATCCATTAGCCCTTCAGTTAGCTTACTGCCCTCACATAAGTTCCGTCCGCCTTGCATGGTACACGGCGAATTGTCCAAGCGGCGGCCTCAGAGACGGTAGTTTCCAGAGGTTCGCTTTTAATAAAGGAAGAGCATAACCCCATTTCCTAAGGTAACAAAGGAAAAACTAGTTTCAGAATATTCACCGTGTGGCCCTGGTTTTCAAGTTTCCACTCCTATGTTAGTTGGACCTGCTGGTGCTTGACAGATGTGTGTTCCTCCTGCGCTCTCTTGTACCTGGTCACACTTTGGCATCCCAGACATTCTCAGATCTCGAATTTGCTAGAATGTCCGCTTAGCCCCATCTCTGCTCCCCCTGCTGACACTGTCTGGGTCCGCTTAGCCCCATCTCTGCTCCCCCTGCTGACACTGTCTGGGTCCGCTTAGCCCCATCTCTGCTCCCCCTGCTGACACTGTCTGGGTCCGCTTAGCCCCATCTCTGCTCCCCCTGCTGACACTGTCTGGGTCCGCTTAGCCCCATCTCTGTTCCCCCTGCTGACACTGTCTGGGTCCACTTAGCCCCATCTCTGCGCCCCCTGCTGACACTGTGTGGGTCCCCTTAGCCCCATCTCTGCTCCCCCTGCTGACACTGTCTGGGTGCTGACCCCCGCACCCCCAGTGCTGGCTTCCGACTGACTGACGCTGTTGGTCCTGCCTTTCCTCAGCCTGAGTCACCGGAAGACCAGTTTGGGCAACAGACGGTCCACTTTATGATCGGGCCCCCAGAGACAAGCCTTGAAACCCCCCCTCTAGCAGCCGTTCCTCCCGTTCCCAAACCAAGAACACTTCAGCCTGGGAAGGGTACCGAGAGGAAGCCGAGCGGGGGGCCGCCAGCACCAGACGGTGCCCCTCCCGTGGCCGCCCCGCCGCCCCCGCTGGAGGTTCCGCCGCCCGCGCCCCAGGCGCCCCCGAGGAGGAAGAAGTCGGCCCCCGCCGCCTTCCACCTGCAGGTGCTGCAGAGCTGCGACAGCCGGCTCCTCGCGGCCCTCCCCTGCAGCGGCAGCGACCGTCCCGCCGCACACCCACCCGCCGGGGGCGCTCTCCTTCCACAAGCCGCTGGCCTCGGCGCTTCATGCGCGGCGAGCCCCGCAACCCCCGGCGCCGGCGCCGGCGCCGAGCAGCCCAAGTCCGAGGTGGCCTCCCTTCTTGGTGATTTTCAGGATCCCTTCTGGAGCCTTCTCCACCACCCGAGCCTGTTGAAGAACGCCTGGCTCTCCAAGAGCTCCGACCCGCTGGACTCGGGGACCGGGGGCCTGGAAAGAGCGCGCCCAGCCCCGCCGCAGGGCTCTGCCTCGGCTGCCCAGGGGCTGCCGCCGGGGCGCGTGCCGGAGGACTTCGACCGCTGCCGGACCGGCGGTGAGCGGGACCCCAGGACGGTGCTGCAGGCGTTTGACCCGCTGGCGAAAACCTGAGCAGGAAGCTTGGGCAGCCGCTCTCCTGCAGAAAGTGTGCCTTCTTCCCGCAGGCGTCCCTTCTCAGGGAAAGCCCGGAGCCCTGGCCTCCGCCCTCCCCCCATCCCACCCGCCCTCACCCCTGCTAAAGAGACCACTATTTAAAGGCGCACTGAAAAAACATTTGGACTCCCGTCACTCGTGTGTACTTCACAGAAATTGTGTCTCTTATTCAATAAGATGATTATTCAGCCACCAAGACCGGTTTTCGTCCAGACTCGTGCATTTTAGTTTCCCCTCAGGGGTCGGAGAAACCTCTGGTTAGATTCGATGTGTGGGTTTGAGGACAGGAAATCTGGCTGATAATGTCCAAGAAGTTCTTCTCTGGTTGGATTTTCCGTGGTTGCTTTTTTCTTTTGTTGTTTTTGTTTTGTTTTGTTTTGTTTTCTCTGATTTATGTGTGTCTGTGGTGTTTTTAAAATGTTGTTTGTGCTTTACAGATTTGGGATAACTTTCTGGCGATCCACCTGAAGGGTGATGTATCAGCCGAAAGGTGGTTGGGACCATTAAGAGCTGTACCTGGCCTGCTGACCCCAGGTTTCAAAAAAAAAAAAAAAAAAAAAAATCGGAGTTGAAAGCGGCCAACAGATCAACCAAATGACTAGACGACACATTCCCGTGAGCCCTTGTATTTCTGTACATGTACAGGAACCTTGATTATGTGGGAGATGGTGTCATACGCTGTTTGGGCTCCGACACACATACCATTAGCTTAACCGTTGCTTCAGCTGGCTGAAGACTCTTCCCCATACCGTGTCTCAGCTACTGCATGTCCCATAATGTGCTGCAGTCCTGAGCCCTGGTGCACTAGTTAAACCAGTTTGTATACGCTGGCTCTTTCCTACTAAAGGGAGCCTCGTCACTTCTAACCCCCTTGGGTTCCACGTGGAGGAAAAGCAAAAACCGTGCAGACTCATGCTGGCACATAATATTGGTCCTCGTCGTGACGCTAGGGGGAATATTTCAATTAGCCTGGGCTGCCTGGCTGTGGTTTCGGGAAGGAAAGTACCACTTGTCCCTGTATGTGAGAGACCCCAGGGCAGCATTTTTGGGTTTGCTTATCTGTCTGTGTCCTAGGTTTGTTTTTTTGTCTGTACATTTGTGACATCTCTTCTTGCCCTAGTCAGTCCTTTAGAAAGACATCACCAGACTATTTTACATTTTCAGAATAATGTTGTAAGGCCTGGAATCCGTTTGGAGCAGATACTATATTTTTGCTAACAAGAAATTCACGGGTGAAATCTTAGTGTGCCACATACCATTATTTAGGAGTTTTTAATGTCCTAGAATCATACAGCAGGGACTCTGTATTATCCCTAATGTGACGGGAGAATTGGTTAGGATGGCACTAAATGCTAATGGTAGGATGGCAGTAATCGTCCTGCCTGGGGGCATACCACTCTCTTTTTGCCTCTGGGATTTCAGAATGACTTCTCACTGCCACTATCAAGGCACCCTGCAGATTATTTAAATCTGGCACTCAACACAAAACCAAAACTACAACATTTATCGCATTTCATTTGAAAACTGGTAAAAGAAGAAGAGGTCTTAGTGACCCACAGGGATAAACAGGTAATATACGTAGTTGACCAGTCTTAAAAAGAAGGTGTTTCTGACCTTAGCTGATTAGGACACTTTCTGTAGAGTGTAAGTACTTTCTTTCCCATTTACCTCTCTAACAAACACGAGTAAACAACATAATTCTTGAAGAGTTCGGGGGAGAAAGAACAAAAGATGGGTAAATGGTTTGGAGAAGTTAAATAATTTGCCCGGATTCACATTGCTACTAAGAGTACAATTGGGAATGGGATCAAAGATTTCCTCATTCAAATGTTCTTTCCTGTCACCTCTTTTTCCCACCAAAAAGGAAGTGAATTTGAAAGCAGATTATGTGTAATGCAACAGTTGCTTGCAAGGCTGGAAGTAGGCCTGATTTTCAGGTTTCTTTGTTCTAGATGCAAGTGGCCAATAAATGGGACAGAGAACAGAATTTTAATGAAGAAAGGTGCTCATCACACAGGTAGCTCTTAAGGATCTGACATTAAGTATTAACACAGAATTGTGTTGACCTCGGGAGGCAGGTCATGAGGAAAATTCATAAGTAGTTTTAACGAGAAGAATCGAACAAATACTTGATCAGGGGTGTTCAAATTCCGTGAACAACGCAGACTGGATTCTGAGGTGATCATATGTAAGGTTCACACACCAATGTTCTCTTAAAAAAGAACAATTGGAGTTGCCTTACTTAGTTTTTAGATCAGGGCTTTAAGAGATGGTAGGTTTCCTAGGTTAGCAGCAGAGTTGGTTAAATATTCTGGATGAGCAACTGCCGGCCTAGGGATTTCTCTTTGTGGGTTTTTTACTTTTGGTTTTTCTGTGCCCCCACACGGGCCTTGAAGTGTCTTTTATTACTGCTCTGTAAGACAGTACAGTTCACCGCGGAGAACTCGAGGCACAGAACTTTACAATTCAACGTTGTCTCTATGACCCCAATTATATTCCCTTTTCCAACCTAATCTTCTCTGACTTCTTGCCTATTTTTAAAATGCGTTCTGGTAAATGACTGAAATTAGGACATCTGCTCAAGCAATTCCTGTAAAAGTTCTAAGTTGTTGAATTTCAAGATAGAATAGAATATTCTGGATATGTAGAAGTACAAGCAAAGTAATACATTAAAACATTCGCTTTATAATGAAATAATTTTATCAGCTGCAAAAATTATTTATTGGGCGACTAGTAATTAAAACCCTGTAATGTTTATTTGAAGTGATAATTTGTACTGCAGTTGTAAAAAATGCCTATTAAATATTTTGTCTTTTTTTTAATTTGGTTTGTTTCTTTTTGGATATGGAAGAATGTTGGAATATCTTCTTCATGTTGCCTTGTATTCTGGGTGAAATGTGATTACTAGTTATTCCTCTGAGTTTGGGTTTTGTCTCTTTTATAAATGCTGTGAGGTAGGGGGGCCAATAGCACCTTGCCCAGGGATAGTTACACTATACCATTCAGTAAATAACAAACTTGCTCTTGCTTCCTTGAATTAGGTTCCTTAAGGGGTTATTCAGTTTTATTGGCACTTTCAAATAACATTAGGATTTATATAGCCTTTCTATTTTATTTTTTTCTGTTGATTTTTAAAACATTTTTCATTAACTTTAATTTACATCTTTTTTGTTTAATTTTGTTAATTTCTTAATTAAAAGTAGCACTAGATTACATTATCTTTAGACTTTCTCACTTAACACTAAAGATATTTAAAGTTAATATATTTTCCCCTGATTATAACTGCACCCCACGCATTTTGGCATGAAATATTCTCCTTTTTGTGACTTTCTAGATTAATTTGCTTTTATCTTCTCTCTCATCCAAGGGAGACTAATTTTCCAATAGTTAAGGGTTTGACATTTAAAAATTGTTTACTCCTGGGCGCCTGGGTGGCTCAGTTGGTTAAGCGACTGCCTTCGGCTCGGGTCATGATCCTGGAGTCCTGGGATCGAGTCCCACATCGGGCTTCCTGCTCGGCGGGGAGTCTGCTTCTCCCTCTGACCCTCTTCCCTCTCGTGCTTTCTATCTCTCATTCTCTCTCTCTCTCAAATAAATAAATAAAATCTTAAAAAAAAAATTGTTTACTCCTATTTTTTTGGATTATGACCTAAGAATATGGCCTAGATAAACCTGCTTTTTAAAATTTATTAAGGTTTGGTCTGTGGTCAAGTGCAGGATTGATTTTTGAAGTGTGTTCATTGATTTTTGTGTGTGAGAGAGAGAGAGCAAGAGAGAGATTTGATGTATCCTCTATAGCCCAAATGGAACAGGTCTTTTTGTAAGGCAGAACCGGGGGGGGGGGGCGCGGGTAGAGGGTGGGTGCATAGTTCTCCAATGCAACGGCTTCCCACCTCCTCCCATTTTCTTACCAAGATTCCTTGGGTTTTGTTGAATTAATGCTTCTCAGTTTAAGTCTTTGGTCAATCTCTAGACATATTGAATGATTGCCTTTACTAATTTTGACTAGTTAATAGATGCCTCTCTGAGGGAGAGATTTCCCTCTGCTCCTCATCCTGCCATTGCGGACCTTCTGCCCCCCTTTCCCCCCCCCCCCCCCCCCCCCAGCAGTCTGTTCTGTGCCACAAGAGATTACTTGTCAATCTCTGCTGATACTACGTTGTCTTTTTTTTTTTTTTTTAAGACTTTATTTATTTATTTGACAGAGAGGGAACACAAGCAGGGGGAGCTGGAGAGGGAGAAGCAGGCTCCCTGCTGAGCAGGGAGCCCAATGTGGGGCTCGATCCCAGGACCCTGAGATCATGACCTGAGCCAAAGGCAGATGCTTAACTACTGAGCCACCCAGATGCCCCTCCCCCCCCTTTTTGACTAATTTTTATTAAGTCTTAATTTTCTTTAACTTTGGTATCTGGTAAAACAAGCCCTCCTACCTCATTCTTTTTCTTGAGAGAATCTTGTCTAGACTCTGAAATTGCATATAAATTTTAGAAGCAATTCATCAATCCCCTTAAAAAAATAAAACCTGTTGGAATTGTTTACTGGGAATGCATGGAATAGAACAGACATCTCTACAAGATTCACTCTTCAATCTAAGACCATAATGTATTTCTTCATTTAAGGATTTCATCCTTTCTCAAAGTTTTAAGCATTATTTCTAAATATATATGAAATCAGAGGGAATAGTTTGAACCCTCATATGTCCATCACCAAGATTTAATAGTAATTAACATTTTGCTATATTTGCTTTATATTTTTCCTTTAAAATATTTTAAAGGAAGGAATTCTGCTCTCATGACCTTTGACTTCTAATATGTACCTCTAAATAACATTTTTATAACCTTTATACCATAACTATATCTAACAATTCTCACTTTAAAATTCATTTGCTATTTTTTGCTGGTATACTTAAATATGAGGTTTTTTTGTGTATGGACTGTATCAATTTTGTTAAACTCAAA